ACTGTACTGCATAGCTAGAACCAAACATTACATCATTCAAAGTGACTCATTCGTGTCATCAAGACGTGAATAAAACACTACACCATCAGCCATCTAGTGGACGGAAGCAGTGCGGTGGTTCTTCTCAGTGTCAACGACAATGGAACCGTTGCGCTCGATCATGGTAGCTCCACCCTTCTGAAGGGAGCTCTCGACGAAGGTGTGGGTTGGGCGCCACTTGGCAGAGGTCCTGGGAGTGGTCTCGGCCATCATCTGGTCGACCTGCTCGAGAGACAGACCCTTGGTCTCGGGAACCAAGAAGTAGGTGTAGATGAAGGCGATGGTGCAGAGACCTCCCCAGATGAAGAAGACGGAGGACTTGAGGTTACCCTGGTCGGTACCGACCATGTAGGGGGTGATGACGGCGATGATGGTGTTCCAGAGCCAGTTGGAGGCGGTGGAGAGGGCAACACCACGCGAGCGGATGGGCAGAGGGAAGACCTCACCGATGAGGACCCAGGCACCAGGACCCCAGGTAGTGGCGAAGAAGAAGATGAAGATGGCGATGAAGGCAATCTGGGCGTTGACGGCCGAGATGTTGTTGGCGCGGGTGGTGCCGTCGGCGAGAGTGGTGGAGTTGTTGAATCCCTGAGTGACACCGATGATGGCAACCAAGAACTGGCAGATCAACATACCGAGAGCACCGAAGAGGAGGAGTGTGCGGCGACCGAACTTCTCCATTCCGTAGAAGGAAAGAGGGGTGGAGCAGACGTTGACCAGGGTGAAGACGAGCGAGATCAAGAAGGTGTTGGAGATGGCGCCAGTCGACTCCAAGAAGGGAGTGGAGTAGTAGAAGATGAAGTTGACACCAGTCCACTGTTGCATCATCTGGAGGGAGGTACCGAGGATAGTCTTGCGGAGGTTGGAGTTGGACTGGAAGAGAGAACCCTTGAAGCAGTTGGCCCAGCCAGAGATCCAGCCACCGGCGGGGATAAGCTCGCGCTCGTACTCCTCGTTGGCAATGATCTCAGCAAGCTCGAATTCAACCATGGACCTGAGCTCAGCAGCCTGGGGGTCGGTAGGGTGGACACCACGGATCTTCATCAGAGCCTTCTTGGCCTCATCGGGCTTGCCGCGCTTGACGAAGTAACGAGGAGAGTCGGGAAGGCAAGCAATACCACCACCGAGGATAAGACCCCAGGCAAACTGGATACCGATGGGGATGCGGTACTCGCCAGTGTCACCACGACCCTGGACGCCGTAGTTGACACAGGCGGCAAGCAGGAGACCAATGGTAATGCAGAACTGGTAACCGGAGACGAGCGCACCACGGACCTTCTTGGGGCAGATCTCGGACATGTAGAGAATGACAATGGCAGACTCGAAACCGACACCAATACCGGCGATGGCACGACCAGCGACAAGGAGGTCACGGCCAGTGGCAGCCATTTGCAAAACAACTCCTAAGTGGGGGTCAGTGGCTTGTTTCATAAAGTAGTGCAAGCGGGGGAGTTCGTACCGATGATGTAGATGAGACATCCCAGAACAATGGTCCACTTGCGACCAATCATGTCGGAAAGGTCACCAGCGACGAGAGCACCGAAGAAAGTACCGGCGGAGAGAATAGAGACGATGAGCGAGGTGTTGCCAGAGCTGATCTTGCAGAGGCCATCGGGAGTGTTGAGACCCTGGGGGCAGATGGGGCCCTCGACCTCCTCGATGAACAGAGGCGAGTTGAGCACACCGTTGATGTATCCGGAGTCGTAACCTGAGTATGCGGTCAGCCACTGTTGTTGTGGAGATTGTGCTCTGTTGTTGTCTTACCGAAGAAGATACCACCAAAGGAGGCAAAGGCGCAGAGAAGGTAGGCCTTCCAAGTGACAGGGCACTCAGTCATGTTGACATCGGTGGTAGCTTGGATGCCCTTGGGATTGGCGGCCTCGTCGGCCAAGTCGTTGTTGTGGCTCATGATGGGCAAGTGCGTGGGGGTTGTACGCTGAGGGAGTTGACGAAGCGCGTTGCTTGAAGCTGTGCAGGGTAGAACTCGCACGCGGCCTTGGACGAAGAATCGGAAACTGAGATGCGGGTGAGTTGAGGGTTAATAAACAGAGCTGGAGATTTGAGATCTAGTGCAGTGCGGAACAAGTGTACCGCAGAAATGGCTAGGTAACATTGCGGCGCGACTTGGAGGGGCCCGTGCTTCCCTGCTATTGGGTGCATTAGCCTGGAACCCAGTGAAGGGTGCGCGCCACCAGCTCTCTGGGGAATGGTCGCCCGCGTTTTGCCTGCTCCAGCTTCTTCTCCAGGCCCGACTGGCCCGACTAACCTGGTAATTTGACAAGTGTCGGACCGGCATTTGCACCGGCTGTGATTTGACCTTGGCAGGTGAAGCACAGACGATGCTTTTACCTGTCTAGAACGCTTCTAGGTTTTCAGAGCCGCACGTGAGGTGCTCCCCGACCAAGGGTTCCCACTTCACTAGACTCCACCATCGTGGCCCATGGAGTCGGCTAACGTGTGTCTGGAGCAGGCTGGTAACGGCGCTAGCCCCCAATACCAGGTGCGCGGCGCCCTACACTCGGCTCCCTCCGCCTTCTACGCCTGCTTTCATTCATCACGATGATGCGCTGACGATGCGCCAATGGCATGGCCTGTGCTATGCTTTTGACCACTGCAGGCGTCTTTCCCCAGACAACACCATGTGGCTGAACGCTAATGCAACGGCGGTCAAGATGAATGTGAACTGCTGACGCTTGTCGGCCATGGACGCCTAACGGCCAATACGCGACTTCGCTGGCCTTCGGAGCTCCTAATTAAGCGCGCAGTGTGGCACGAGTCACTCTCATTAGCCCAACACCACCAACCCCAGCCTCCGCTCCTGTCCCGACGCTGGGAACGTCCAACCGGGGCCGCCCTTGATTAGTGCATGTGGTCACGATGCACGGTCAGGATGCCTGACCCAGCGACTGCGAGAGATCCAAATCCAGTCCCTTCGCTGCGGGAGGAAAATGTGGTAGCGATGATGGCGAGAAGGCTGTCGCTACCGAGGTGGTTCGTTCACGTGGGTCGCTCGGTGTCAATCACGCGGAGGTCTCCCCATGGTTTCGATCCGACGGCCCACAACCCTGATTGGCCATGCCCTGCGCTAGTGGCTACCCCGACGAAGCTTGACGCGGAAAAGAATTCAGCCCCGACATAGCACGAATCGCCGACGAGAAAATCTTCAGACGCGGCATCTGAGCACTGAGGTACATGACAAAGCGACATCGCGTACCCCGACATCCATCGTCCGCATGTTCTTCTCCACATTGTCGCCCAACGCACTGCTGCTGCTTCGCTACCATCTTTTCTTGCGTCCCCGCTGAGATGTCACCACCCCACAACTCGTACCGACTATGCAAACTTTGTGCGACAGTGGTGGCCTCAGCCGCAGCTCTCCTTGTGCAGGACTTCATTGTTACACGAGAAGCCTGTCAGACGCCGGGGTGCAATGCCTCAGTTTGTCACGATGCTCAGCTGTCATGTGCCAGCTGGCTTCTCGATGCCTCGGAGCAGGAGATGGTCCTGGGGTCCTGAAAGTCCTCCAGCGTTTTGGTCGCATCTGTCATGGAACTTGAGCTGGGCCTCTCAAGATGGTCGACATTATAGTGTCTGACCCCAGAGGCGCTCGATGCGTTTCGTGGTGGCCTGAAGTAGTAGTTTGTTTCATGGGTAATTCCACCTCATCAGCGGTACCAGGTCGGTCTACAACCTGATGGCATCCAAACTGCCGTTCTTGGGAGATGTCGAAACCCACTTGCTTATCACCAGAACTGACTCTAGCTAATCGCGCATATGCACAACGAGGCTGTGAGATGCAGCAAGGCTGGCCAATGGCCACAACCGAGGCGGGGTAGCTGCATACTCCAGGCTTCCTCGATGGCCTCTTCACCATTACTCCTAACACGTCTCTTATCTGCCTGGTGGAGCTCACGCAAACTGAGTCCATGGCGTGGCACGATGCGACATGCGCAGCGCTGAAGTTGGAGTGGGAAGATGGACGACCGGGATGTCTTACCTGTCAACGTAAAGCGCCCGCTTTGGCGCCTATCCATCCAATCTCGCCGCCTGGTCCTCCGCCAGATGTTCCACGATCATAACTGCTGTGCACATGGCCGCCCCAACTTTTCTCCGATGATTCTCTTGCAGAATCACGAAAAGTCGCGAGAGACTTGGATCATGATCGGCTTCCCAAGACACGTTCGGATGGCCCAGACTATGTAAACACCCCGGAAGATGCGAAAAACTCTACACAACACAATATTGATAACGACCATGCAGCAACGCTAGCTTTTGTGGGTGTGTGCATCGATGCATGGACTAGCAACAATACCACCTCACAGTCCGGAGTGTCATTGGAGTCAAAGAAGAAGGGCCAAGAACAAACACACAGCTCATCTGAATTGGCCACTACTTTTCAGAAAGTATACACAAGCCTTCCGAACGCCGACTCTGTTCGTCTCCTACGCTTGCACAGTAGTGCGACTAGGAGCGATCCCATTCACTGCACTCTTCTTGTGCATGGGCTTCACGATCCGTGCCGCCCAACTTTCGAGGCTTTTTCCTACACCTGGGCAGATTCACAAGGCGACTCATCACTGTGCGAGACCATCTTCCTCGGCCCACAGTATGACATCCTCCCTGTAACCAAGAATTGCCTGGCGGCGCTTCGGTGCTTTAGAACCTCTGTGGATCGTCTTGTGTGGGTTGACGCTACTTGCATCAATCAGTTCGACTTGGATGAGCGAGGTCGTCAAGTTTCGCTAATGAGAGATATTTACAAATCTGCAGCCCGAGTGCTGACGTATCTGGGAGAGTGGAACGAAGACCTTCGAGATGTCACGGAATCGCCACACTACAACCACGGGAGATCCGACCATCCTTCTGGGAGTGCTTTCGCCGATGTGAGCATGATACTTTGTTTACCCTACCTCTCGCGTATTTGGGTCATCCAGGAAGTCATGCTCGCTAATTCAGCCACCATGAGTGTCGGCAAGCACACAACACATTGGAAGGACTTCCGCGATCTTGTGCAGAACTCCCTGTCAAGCCAACAGAAGAAGCCTGTCCCGGCTCTGATTGAGCACTTCGATTACAAAGACGGCGAGATGGACCTACTGTCATGGCTCAAGGGCACCAAAGACTCTCGATGCGGTGATTTGCGCGATCGTGTATACGGCCTAATGGGCCTAGTTTCCGAGAAGGATCGAAGGAAATTACCAGTGGATTACAGTATTAGCAAGCAGCAGCTATACACTGGTCTGGCAATGTACTGGCTTACAGGTACGACCCGTGACAGGGAACGAATATCCACAGTATTAGAAATGGCTTTGCTTCCCAAGATGACACTCCTTCCTTCTTGGACTCCTGACTGGACGCCGCAACCACATATAAGTATGAACAGAGAGTGCACTTCATTGACACCATTGACTCTCCAATTCGACACGACATCTGTGGAGCGTCCATCGTCGGGACTACAGTGGTCCAGAATGCCCAACTACGGAAACGAACCCAGCGTCAGGTGGACACTAGACGAGGCCTTTCAGGGGCGTCGAGACAACTTCAATATGCTTCCGACTTGGTACAGACTAACTATAGCTTCAGGCTGGAGACCGGGCTCTGTCAAACCACTACCACTAAGTGGTACTTTGGCGCTGGAAGCTGTCCACATACTTTCCATTTCGACAGGAAGGCTAGAACTCACAGACACCAACGGGAGATCAGTGCACGGCCTGCAACTCACGCGCTCTAGAGATTCCCAGTCAAGACAACAGGATCTCCCATACGGTGATACCCATTTGTACATATGTCTGGACTGGCAGGCAGCCCTAGCACTGAATAAGCATGCGACTGCTATCTACAGCCTTCGTGACAAATTCAGCATCGTTTGTGCTCCTCTGGGTGCGAATGTACCGTCAAATTCTGGAGATGCGTTGTGGATTGAAAGTCGTCTAGAGCTTTTCGAGGAAGACATCGCCGAGCACTGGCTGATGGATCTGTTCTTCTATGGAAATAGAGCTGGCTCAGCCTACGCTGAGTTGTTGCGAGGATCAAAGATGAACGAACGCTGGTCAAAATATCTGCCTCACGCATCAGCTGCTTGCGAAGTACTCAACTTACCACTCAAAATACATACTGAAGAAGATTACCGACATCCTAGAATAGCAGAGATGATAGAATTATCGGAAGATGCTAAGGATTTTGTCGACCAGGCCAAGGGCCCTTGGGAGAGTCGGAGCAGTTCAGAGTCTCTGGACTTGATCTCCGATTCATCCCAATGGCTTTACTCTGTACCAGAAGCGGATGACGTAAGACTGGCTATGCGCATTGAGCAGGCCCATGCAGCCAAATTGGAGACGGCTTCTCCGCCAGAAGAGCTGTGGACCCACCTCAGAAGTGTCGTGAGAGATCACCGACATTCTTGCAAGGATTACGCACCTCTACAACATGCGATGTCAGATCTCGAAGACAGGGTAAATAAAAGGTTGACTAGTCAATATTCTGGCTTCTCGGGAACTGGTCTACTGCACCTTCTCGCGCCTGATAGTGTAAGAATTGGTGCAAAAAAGGTGGGATCTTTCTTGAAGCTTGATTGGACAATAACAAATATCATGTGCACTGCTTGGGCGCTTTTACAAGAACTCAAGATTGATCCAAAGTTCACGCTCGAGCAGAACTGGAGCATTGTGATGATTCACGTCTTGACCATGGAGATGGTGGCACGTCTACGAGGCTGTTTACAACAACGACTCATTCTGAATGCTATTCGCGAAAAGATGAGGCATCCGGAGGAGATATACCTTATCTAGTGGAGAAAGACTGGCTTCGTTTCGTTGGATTGCCTTGCCAGGGATGTCAATAACTCGTCAAGATAAGAGTTTCATACCCGCACTTTTGAACTGTGATTTTACGCCCCTACAGTCCTGTCAAGTCTAAAAGCTGTAGTTCCAAGTCATCCTTCAATCAAGATATGAGAGAACGAAGCATGGGCATGCTGCCTTGAGGAGGGCGTCAGCACCACCCACGAAGCGGTAAAGGAAGGAAACGTCACAATAAAACAGGAAGAAATTAGTTTGCTTTGGCAATACTGATTGTATTCTTCATTCACCATCATTTACAAGAAAGCGCAGCACGGCTGCGCTTATCAAAAAGGTATATATATACAAAAAGTCGACCAGACCGTAAAGCCGAGTCTGTCGTCGTTTCAATCCTCCAGATCATGCAAAACATATATCTTACTCCTTGCGGAGAAGAGCCTCGCGGAAAGCACGGCGACCACGCTTAGCCTTGCCACCCTTGCAGTTCTCAGAGTTGTGCGCAACAGCTTCGCTGCTAGCAGCAGGCTCCTCAGAAGAAGGAACGGGAGAAGCAGCGGGCGAGGTCTCCTCAGCGGGCTCCTCAGTAGGGGTCTGAGCGGGAGACTGGGCACCACCGCTGGTGCTGGCATCCCAGACAGCGGGGGCGGGGAAGGTGTAGTCCTTGTAGCCACCCCAGATGCTGAAGTTGAACTCTGGGTCGTCCTTCTTGTAGGCGCCGGGGAACTTGACGGTGGGGCCGGGGGTGCCGCTGCCGCCGCCGGTGACCTTGACTTGAGCGCAACTATCATGTGTTAGCAAATGTCGTCGTAGAAGTAGTGAAGAGAAGAACTTACGCGTAGTAGAACTCAGCCTGGCCATCGTGCGCACCGTGAAGACCAACGTGCTCAGAGCGGATCAAGTACTCGCCCTCTGGCACCTCAGCCGGGACAGTGAACTCAATCTTGTTGCTATCCCAGGTGCACCAAGCATCACCAAGAATGTCCTTGTCGGGGTGGCAAAGACCAGACTCGAAGATCTTGAACCACTCGCCGTCACCCTCGTACTCCTTGACGGAGCTGGGCGCCTTGGACATGTAGACGAAAGCGGGGCCGGGGTGCTTCATGGTAGCGCCGTAGGCAAGCTTCATGGCCATCTTGGTGCCGGCTGCGACTTCCTTGACGCCGGTCTTGCCAGCGCTGGCGAAAGAGCCCTTGTTGCAGCGGAAGTCGTCCATGTCGGGGGTCATGTTGTCGAGGGGGTTCTTCCACTTGGTGGGGTTGAACTTCTCCGCACGAGTGTTTTCGCGGATGAACTCGTAGCCCTTGGACTCCTGGCCGTCGGTGACGAGGACATCGAAGGTGTAGTGAGCAGAGGCGATCTGCGCAATGGCAGCTGCGGCGATGATGGAAAGCTTCATGTTTGAGGTGGGTAGTGGTGGTTGGTTTGGTGTTTCGTAGTGGGTTGGAAGATGAAAAACGATTGTATAGTAGGACTAGCCTGTAGAAACGAATGTAGTAGCGAAAAGCTGAAGAGAAGCGAAAGACAGTGTGCAGAAGTGTGCTGATGAGCTCTCCATGGTGGTGGTGTTTTGCTTCTTATGTATCTGAGCATGCATTCCTATCTGAGCGCCGTGGTCAATGTCGCTAACCGTTTCCAGTGACCAGAGCTGGTCTTTCCACCCATCCCTTGCAAACCCCTCTTCGCCGACGTTGGTTTGCACCATGAAACAATGCCTCAGGTGTTTCCTTCCATCGACGCATGAGGCCGAGATCTCTTGGCTGTGGCCGTATTTCCGCTATCCCGCACAGCTGTGGCGAAGCGAGATGACCATACGAAGGGATGAGAGCTGTCATTGTGGTATTGACCCCCGTAGCGCCCGCTTTTTCGATCCTGGGAACCGCGGTGGTGGGCCTGTCACCATACGGGTGCCTGTTTCAAACCATTATCTTGGCAGTAGGAGACTTGGCGGCCGGAGGTCTCATCAGTTGGAGATGTGCAGGTACCATCCTCGACGGAACTTTGCTACCGGTGCAGACTATGCACGGTAGTACAGGACTATGTGAGCAGACTTCTACATTCGGTCAATAGTGAATTGACACTCATGAAGGATTCGCAGAATGCTATTATCATCAGTAATGTGATGTCTCTTTCCACTTCCAATATCTCAGCGCATGAAAACGCAGCAAGATTATTTCTCCGCCTCTTCAACGTGAAACGAGTAATGACGGAAAGGGGGGCATGGCGGGATCGCACACGCTGAAGGATGTGATGATCGGGATCCAGACACAACCAGACTGCAAGCCCACTCACGTCTGAGTTCGGGTGAGCTACTACCTACCATCTAGCGCTCGATGTGCTCGTACCCACTGTGCCAAAGATAGAGACTGCATACGGGTCTCGGAGGTAGAGCGGCTACCGAAGTATGTGTGATTGTCAAGAGCGATTCCAAGGCAAGACTCACGGATGGTAACGGTCTACACCATTATATATATCGGCCGCCTTCAATTGAGCCTGTTGTTGCGCTTATTTGAGCTGTTAAGACTCAATTTACACGATGAAGGCGTGCATCCAGGCTGGTGGGTTCGCGAGATGGAGCACTCCTGAGTCAGTAGTGGTTCACTTCAACCTGCACTTTAGCCGTAGGCCTATCACGAACCACTCTTTTCCGATGTATCCACACTGCAATCTCTGGTGGACAGACAGGCTGTAGCGTGTTTCTGTTTCCGCCTGTGGCTTGTTTCAAACGTTGGTGTTGTTGCGGAATGCTACCGAGTGTGACCGCATATGTTCAATCCTGTTGTTTCTTGATGCCATGGTGGGGAAGTCTGCAAACGACGAAGGAAGGCGCCTTCGAACGTTGGCAATAACTTTGTGCATAGGCTTGTATTGGCGCATAACAGCAGTTGTCTCGTCGTCGGTCGGCGGCTCGAAATACCGAGACGTTGGGCTCTGCATAGTATACCGGATTAGGTCCGATGGGATTTCGCTCCACAATCCGATGCAGCAGAGGCATGCTTCCGCGACTAAGCCAAAGACGATGGAGGTCCACTGGAGTGCAGTAGCGGTGCGGCGTGATAACTTCTTAGTCTCCTTGGCGTCTGTCCCCTTGGGCTCGGGAGTTCTGGAGGGAGGTCAGAAAGTTCTCGACTCGTGACGTGAGGTTCGTTGTCGGCCGTTGAGTCAAACCCGATTTTCTACCGACACCGTTGGGCCTAGCGTGTGAGCCTAATTCGACAATACATTCCTTGTGCTGGATATGCTGCTGTGAGCCTCTCGTTGTTGTTCAGCAATCGACGCGTTGCGACGAGATGGTGTTGTGGCAGTGGTCCTGTGTTCACGACGTCGCAAGATGTCCCCGCATCGCCTGACCGTCATACGTCATCACTAACAAATCATGTGGCATTGTTTTCCTGCATGTCTTTGATCCGCAATGCACGACAAACGCTTTTTGCAAACTTTAGACTGGGAAAAGCCATGAAACCATTGTTCTTGACATTAAAATATCCAACTACTCTTCTTTCCCACCCGTAGAATAAATAGCGGGCCGTCATCGCAAGGACGCCCGAGACAGTACCCCAAGCATCGATCAACATGTCAGCAACCAACGAGCAACCAGTCGAGACGCCAGTCAACAAACTCAACGCAAAGCAGCAGAACCGCATCCAGAAAAGACGACTAGCTCGCCAGCAACTCGACGCGCACTTTGCTCTTGTACGGAAGAACAGCAAAAGACACGACCCTCTACAAGTGCCTCCCAATATCCATGTATGCCTACGCTACCCACGAGGGCCAGACGGCCGCTTCCTCAACCGCGAACACATCATCACAAAAGCAATAGAGAGTCTCAGCATACAAGAGACGACAGCAAAGCCCGTAGAAAATTTGAATGAGAAGCCAAAATCCTGGACGCCATGGGTAGTTCCGTCTCTCTCCAAGACACCAAGAGCTTCCCGACTTTAGCTTCATACAAGACCCAGGAGTACTTCATACCCTCATCACCCAACTGTCTGACCACCGTGGACGCACTAGATACCTCCCCGCTCCCTCATTCCCTCACAGAACGAACCCGTCATGCTCCCTATCAGCCTCTTCCTGCGCCCTGCCAATCGGATCGTCGGCATAAATCACTTTCACCTCCCACATACTACTCGCATTCATACCGATCAAGATACCCCCTCCTTTAGTCCCCTTCTCCCATCTCTTGGTCTGCTTCACATCCTCCGTATCAAGGAGCAAGACCGTGAAGATATGTTCAGCGTCTTCCTTCGCGTCAGCACGATCGACGTAGGAGGCGTGAAGCTTGGTTGTAGCAGCGTATCCTTTTGGCTTGGAAGCCTCAAACTTTGACGACAAGGAGGTAGAGGAATGGTGTTCGGCGTGGGCAAGAGGGCCGGCGGAGATAATGGTGTAGACGGGCGCGGGCAGGATGTCGAAGACATCTTTGTTGATTTCGCGATGTATCTTCAGTACAGTGTAGACGCCGCGTTGGCCCTCGACATTGAATGTGTCGAAGCCTTTTTCCAAGAACTCTTCATCAACCTCTTTCTCTTCGTCTTCGTCATCTTCAAACAGGAAGTCGTCGTTTGGCTTCTCTTTTATGACGGCAAGCTTATCGATTGCGGGGGGTGAGTTGCTGACGACGTCTTCGATTTGAGGAAGGAGGTGGCGGAATGCTTTCGCAGGGCCGATGAGTTCGTAGGAATCGATGTGTGGTCGGATGATGCTCAAGTACCAGATTGTGTTGGGTTCGACGTCGATGAAAGCGAGCTCATCGACTGGCTTGTCGACTTTGGGAGCGGGGATTGGGGTGGATTTGTTGAAGGGCATGACTTCATCGTCGCCTTCGAAATAGATGCCTTTGTCCATGGTGAGATGTAGGGATGGTCGAGGACTTGTGATATCGTCGAGTATCGTAATGTCGGTGCTAAGGCAATGTACTCTGAGGCGGTACTTGAGAAGTCAATGAAGGTGAGAGGGATGGGCAATGTATACTGTAAGAGCAAGCACGGGCATTATAGCCTGCGAGCGTTTGTCGGATGACGTCGTCGCTTGTGGTTTGTGGTGTCGCGGTGAAGGCGGGACTGGCGCCTGGAGCTATCGGGCTCCAATATGGGGCGCCGACAGACCGATACAAACGATCTCGTATACCGCCACGGGGGTTGATGGCGTGCGATATCGCCCAGACAAGGCGGTATGTAGGCGCCAACTCTCTCATACGAAATCGTAGAATGATATCACAGCGGCAGTTCGAAGTGACTCCAGACGTTCGTAGAATTGTGCATTGGTATCTCCTAGCAAAGTAAGACATTCCGCCTCTTAGAATACATAGTGTGCTTTTAGACTCAGTCCCTGAACGCCAGAGCGCCATACGCATGCATAACGTGACATGTGATTGTCACTCAGCCTTCCATATGACTACACCGCTTAGTGTCTCTTCGCCCTCTTATCCTTGCCAGGTCGTTTGCTTGCACCGCCGCTGGGCTTGCCCTTCATCCTGCGAGCCGAGAAACCGCTCCCGTCTGCGCTGGATTCGGCGGTGTTACTCTTCGCGTGCCGCTTCTTGCCACCGAAGCCGTACTTCGAGTCCTTCTTCTGGCGCTTGTTAAAGTCCTTACCGCCAGCACCACCACGACCGCGGCGGTCGGACTTGTCGTCATCGGCGGTCGCGGCGACGTCGAAGAGATCTTCCTCGTGGGTGGCTGTGATGTCGGCTCCTTGTCGCTCTGCATGTTTGTCAGTATACTGCCAGTCAAGTCTTCAAATACGGGTAATACGTACTCCTCTTGAGAGTCTGGATCTTCTCGATGGTGTCCTTCTTCTCCTTGGCACGCTCCTGCAGCTTCGCGACCTGAACCTGCTTTCCGAACTTCTTCAAGTCTCTCTGCTTGCGTGCCTCAGCAGCGGCCTTCTTGCCTGCCGCGGCATCAATCAGCTTCTGCTTGATCTTGCCCATGTGCTCGTCGCTCTTGACCATCTCCGCAAAGTAGTCAGCCGGCCGAGAGAACGACACGCCCTCCTTCTTCAGCTTCTTCCGCGCATCCTTGACCGAGGACAGGCATTGCTTGTAAAAGGCGAGCTCACGGTTGAGGTCGTCCTCGACGTCGGCGATCTCGACAGGCTCGTCGGTGGTTACGGACTGGTATTCCGAGAAAGCGAGTTTCGAGTAGGGGAGTTGGATGCGGTTCAAGGCTGCGGTGAGGGCGGCGGTGTTGTTGATGGTAAGGCGCTGGTGCGGGATAATGTCACCCTTGTCCTCTGAAGCGACGGAGTCTAGATCAGATAGCGCAATGTCATCCTCGTCATCGTCTTCGTCCTCGTCATCTTCAGCGTCTTCATCCTCCTCTGCAGCCTCATCAGCCTGTATCTCCTCCTCGTCTGAGCTGATGTCGCTATCGGTGTCGTTGAGGTGGTCAAGGTCTACTTGAAGTCCATTGGGCGCGTCTTCATCGTCGCTTGCGTCGTCATCGTCATCCTCGCCCTCGGTCTCCCACTCGGGCTCCTTGACTGCTGGCGCAGCCTTTGCGTCGGCCTTCTTGTCCTTCTTCGACTTCTTTGTCTTGCCATTGACCTTCACCTCGACCTCATCCAACGGCACAGGCACGCCGCCCTCCTCGGTATCATTTTCGCCCCCCTCCGCGGCCTTCCTGGCCTCGCGCTTTTCCTTGCGCTTCAGCGCCTGCTTGACGTACTTCTTCTGCTTCTCGCGCTTGATGTCGCGGCCCTGGTAGTTGTCGAGCGCAGACTTAAGCACGCCCTTCTTCGCCATACCGTCTGAGTTCGAGGGTTTTTTGAAGGGTGTGGAGTATCGAACGTCGCAAAAGTCAAGACGTCAAAGCTCCCCAGAAAATAATTCGTGAACTTCCAAGTCTGGGCGCAGAAACATTTTAGCGCGCACGCTAGCTTGACCGCCTACGAAACGGGCAGGAAGCCGCGGCGAAGACCACGTGCTCCGCGACCTTACATATCCACCGTATGCGCATCTCTCCTGTTGCATAATAGCAAACTGCTTGACAATCGCCTTGTGAGGTGCTGAAATTGTCCCAAATCCGCAGACTACTCGTATCGTTCTCTACTTTCCTCACAAACACATTCAATCATGGCAACGCCCCAACCACTAGCAGACCGCGCGCAAAGCGACACTGCGGTACGTGCTTGTTACACTCACGATGCCCCGCTCTACCTAACACGCGCATAGTCAGCCGTCTCAAAAGATGCCGAGAGTTCTGGAGAGCTCACAGCAGTCGTCGACGATCTCCTGAATCAACTCAACACCAAGTTCACCACAGTCAGCAGCGAGCTGCTCGCCAAGAGTAAGTACAAGCATGTCTATGGGAGGCACATTGAAGGCTAATAACGCGTAGTGGATGACATGTCACGGCGGCTGGATAACCTTGAAGCAACTATCCAGGCTGGAGATGGTACTAAGGGCTCAGGGTCTGGCAAGTAGATTTGCAGGGAAGGCATCATGTTTGGTCAAAAGCAGGCGGTGTACAATGCGCACGTCTCAGTCAATGGCGTTTGGTGTTAAATTACATAGATCGTATGCAATCTGGGTATTGACTTTTGGTTCTCTACTACTTATTCCTCTTTCTCATTGTCATGATCACGTATGCCTGTCGCTCCTGCGCCAGGCCTCTTTGCGCCCCCAGCTCATCTAGTCATCTTAATAGTGTTGATGGTATGCCTCATTGCGGAATCTTACTTCACGCACGGGTTGTCTACAACTCCGACTTCTCCTCCTCAGCATCACCCATGAACTTCCTCAGAATGTTGCTCCTGCTCATCAAGTCATCCATCTTCTCGGGTGCCAGGTTGCCCTTGGCAATGAGTCCCTGCAGACGCTTGAGCTCCTTCGCAGCGTACTCCTGGTTGGCACCGATCTTGTTGAAGACCTTGACGTAGTATTCGGCGTACTTGTCCTGCAGAGTACCGGCGAGGGTCTTGGCCTCCTCAGCACCGCCGGCCCACGAGCCCTGGAACTTCTCAATGAGGGTGTTGAAGGCCTCAATGGTGCCACCAGTGGCGTCGAGACCACCACCTACAGCGCGGTGGGTACCGGCGTTGGCGTTGATGAAGTCGACGAAGTCCTTCTCGGCGCGGGCGCCGTTATAGGGGAGAGGCTCGGTGGAGCCCTTGGGGAAGTATTTGATGGTCGGGTAGGACGACACGCCTTGCTCCTGTGCGAGGGCCTTGGAGTTCTCAGCTTCAGCGTCGACCTTGGCGATCAAGACACCGGGTTCGGTAACGAAGTCGTTGGCGAGCGTCTCCCAGACGGGGGCGAGGGTCTTGCAGTCTGCCAGGTGTTAGCTATGAACAGTCGATAGAGAAGAGCCTAGCATGACATACGTCCGCACCATGGGGCAGTGAAGGCAACAAGCACATCCTGGTCCTTTCCAACCTTCTCCTTGAAGGTCTTGTCGTCCAAGTAGACGACCTGGCTAGGCAGCTTGCCCTTGACCTTAGGCTTGACAGAGCTCTTCTCGGTAATGAACTTGCTCAAGCTCTCGAGGTCGCGTCCGCCGCTGTAATCCGTAGGCTTGTCGCTCTTTCCGTCGAACCACTTGAGGGTAGGGAAGCCTGAGACACCGAAACGCTTGCCGAGCGCCTTGTGAGCATCAGCGTCGACCTTTGCGACGCTGACCTTGTCTCCAGCGTGCTGGAAGACGCCAGCGAGCTCATCGTAGACGGGGGCGAGGTTCTTGCAGTGGCCGCACCAGGGCGCGAAGAACTCTACGAGGGCGGGCTTGCCGGACTTAAGAACGACATCGTCGAAGTTGGAGGGTGTGAGGTCGATGACGGCCGATGCCGAGGCAATTGCGGGCAGCAGCGCAATGGCTGCGGGTATTAAATTGCGGAAAAGCATCTTGAAAGTGTATGAAGCTCAAGGATGAGTTGAAGCTTCAAATGTGTGTTGAAGAGCGGTGGGAAATCTGGTGGGGAGCTAGAGCAGCACAGCGGCTATCAGGGTCCCGCGGTGGCGATCGCTAGTCTGAAAGGTGTCCTTACGCGTCTCAACTTTACAAATCCAACACCAACGCGACGGGATGACGTACACTGGATAGTGATCACGTATACTAATCACGGTCTTAATCGTATACACAGCTATTGATAAATATGTTTACTACAAGATGCATTCACTTCCTGGGTATCACAATGACATCGCCCTCCAGACCTGCATGTGGCTATCACCTCCCAAACCTCCCATATCTAATGCAACGACATCTTCCAGTTGTTCCCTCCAGTCATCCCATAACTTCCACTAACCGTCTTCTCGTCTTCAACCTTCTTTTCTTCCTTGACCTCTGGCTTGACCTCTGGCTTCTTCGCCTCAACCTTCTCCTCTTTAACCTTCCCGAGCTCACCAGCAACCTTCTCCACGGCAGCTTTTAGTGACCGCACATCCGCACCCCTGATCTCCTCGGTTTTCTTCCCGTCCTTGAAGACCATGAACGTCGGCATAGCTGTGACACCATATTGCCCCGCGATCTCTCTCTGCTCATCCACATTGACTTTTACGAATGCGAATTTCCCTGGTGAGGCATGCGTGGTGGAGAGTTGGTTGTAGATGGGCGCGATTTGCTTGCAAGGTGGACACCATGTTGCGTAGAAGTCGGCGATGAGATATGTGTGACCGTTTAGAAGGGTGCGGAGGTGTAGGGGTGCTGAGATCTCTGTTGGCATGGTTGATGTTGGGGTATTCGTCAAGGCGGCGTGCTGAGGTTGTGTGTCGAGTGATTTGAGTGTTGTGTCTTGCTGGGGGGCTGTTGAAAGGCGACTGTAGCGTATTGGAGTTGTCGTAAGATTCAGGCTGTACTTTTGTATTTGTTGGACTGCGATGGCGCGACCTTGTGGAATGTTCTTTCCAATCAATGCGCCATACCACGAATGGTCTGGCCAATCAGCATTTGTCATCAGCTTCACGATCACGTGTCGGCGCGCTTGCCGCATCTGGTAATCGGTGATAGCAGTTCTGCGTGGGAGAGGTTACATATGCTGGCGCAATGCGTATACAGAACCTTTGAGCGGAGTCATCAGTCATGCAGATGGGAACGCCTGTTCTCAACGACAGATGGTCTCGCGGGGGTTGATTCGACAGTGCAATGATGTACATGCTGACGGATAGCAGTCTTGAATTCCAGAAAGTCCACAACGCCTCGCTATGCCATCATGAGCAGTTGAACCCAGCTGCTTTTCAAGAACTGAATGACCCTTCAAAGCTCAGCCCCCACCCCTGCCCAGTATCTCCTCCCTCTCCAACACCTCGGGCTTGAACTTGATCAAAAAGACCGTCTTTCCCGGCCACAGTCCCTTGCCCTCTTCGTCGCCTACACTATGCGCAGTCACGCCCTCGGTCGGAAATCCCGCACCATCGCAAACACCCTCAATTATGCCCGCGACAAAGGCCGCGCAGTTCAAACTCGATAGTTCTTTGGGCAGACTTATGTATTGGTTGACCATCGGGTCGTTGTCGAAGAGCATGTACTGTCCTGGGTCGGTGCCAGATTTTTCTAATGCATCCGCGGGTCGACCGAATAGGTAGCGGTATAGCTGTTGTGCGATGAATTGGAGGAGAGGCAGGATACGAGTGGGCCGAATGCTCGCGAGGGGGTTGGCAGTACGGGAGAGGAGAAGGTCGAGTAAGCGGAGGCCAATGGGGTAGCCTTGTGTGTTCAGTCTAGATGGTGTCAGAACACGTTCAACTGGAAACCCAATGGGGTATGTCGCAGTGCATATGTGAAGTTCCGCAACCGCATGGATCTAGCATACCTCTGCTCCAAGTCCCCCACATCCTTCGCGCCCTTCTGCGCATACGCAATCATCTCAATGAAGAGGTACGCAAACGCCGCTCTACTAAGCTCCGCATTCTTACTCCGGTTCAGATTCCTGTCATATATGCTCTTCTTATTCGACGGGTACCGCAGCCCAGGCCCTTGGCTTGGGGTGCCGCTCATTGCGATGTGCTGCCCTTGTGGTTGCGATTGTGTGCCGGGTTGCGGACGGATCGTGGCCGCAGAGGAGGATGTAGATGGCTTTTGCGCAGTGTCTACGGATCGAGAGAGGGACGACTGGCGCGAGGGGTAGTACGAGTGGTGTAGGGGCAGGATGTTGGACATGGTCGCTATTGAACCCTGGCGGTGTTGTTTGGCGGAGTGATGTGGGTCGGAGGGTCGTGCGTCGTGCGTCGTGCGTCAGACTTGCCGCGGGTCGAGCATGCTAGGGATCATCTTCGGTGCTTAGCTAACACACGACTTTCACAATACAACAACTCTCAGGACTCGACAAACTTAGTAGTGCATTATGTTTACCTCACCGGACTGAGAATCTCAGCGCCTGCAGATGAAAAGGGGAGTGAAGGTAATCATAGAGCAGCGAGTTAGGAAAGCGAGCTGTGTGTGAGGCCGTGGACAGTACGTCAGCTTCTTTGATAGCGTGTTGATCAATACTACGTATCAAGGGGGAAAGCAGACGCAACAACCCGTAAGAAGCCACTAGCTCTGACACCTACATCTCTCCGTTATGTTGCGCTGCAGCATGACGAGAAACCGCCTGAGCTCCGCGCTTCGATCGCCACCCATCGTGCTCAGCAGCAGTCTCCATGTAACCATCAGGCATCTCAACCATATCTCCATACAGCTTTTTAAGCTTCTTCTTCTCATCGTCCACGCCTTCCGAGCCGACTACTTTGCGTACCTCACCAGATGATGCCTTCCTCCAGTCCTTGTACCATTCCTCAAACCTTTCTGTCAGGTTCATCTGGTGCGACTCAAGAACTCTCATCATCGGCTGCACATGGGTGCGGCGGATATCGAACTGAATCGGAACGATGGCAATAGTGTTGTTCGGGTCCGCAGCAACATCGCGCATGTGAGGTGCACCAGACTGCTCGACCTCATGCTCCGCGCGCAGGTCACCGTTGAGCTTTCTCTGCTGCTGTAGTGCGGCCAAAGCATCACCGCGTTCCTTCTTCATCCTGCGTTCGGATGCAAGGTGGCGTTGCTTATCGCCTTGAGCGTCTTTCGCCTTCTCTTCCTCCTTCCCCGCCATGTCCTTAGCATTCTTGACCTTCTTGTTGGCACCCTTCAGCTTCCGCGTCTTTCCATCGTTCTGATTGCCCAGATTGACGTTTTCGTACTCGATGGTCTTGAGAGTGTCCTTCAGCTGCGTGTTCTCTGATCGCAGACGCGTGACCTCGCTTTCGAGGCGGTTGAGACGGCGTACGGTGTCGGTCGGGAGGTCAGATGCCGCGGCAGCTTTCGACGTCTTTCGATCCAGATCTTCAATGGTCTTGCCTCGTTCCTCAGCCTGCCCTTTCCAATATTCGCATTGCTGACTCAAGGTTGCGATGGTAGTTCTCAGACGGGCCTCTTCGCCGTGTTTCGCTTCCTGTTCTGCATCGACTACGTTCTCGTGCCAGAGACCACCGGCTGACTCTACAGTAGACGCTTTGGATACTGACAGACTAAGCGACAATGTCCCGGAACGCAAGTCATCAGGGTCGTGGAAGAGTGCGTCCAGATTGAAGCTCATCTGTTGTGGGTTAGTATGAGCGCAGGCTTAACTGTTCTTCAACTTACCTTGGATTGTACTTAGGTGGCTACACTGTCTCGACGCGAAGAAAGCAACGATTTGAGGTTGCAACGTAGTTGTCACGCCAAGCATTTAGACCCTGGCGAGGTGAAAGCCAAACAAGACGAAACGGGAAGGCGCGTCACCGCTTCACCGTAAGGCATCCTCTGGTCCGATCACTCAATTCTCAATTGCTCTATAACAGCTGCGAGATCTCGCACACGGAAGGGCTTCGGAACTGCGTCGTCCATTCCAGTCTCTCGTGCGCGCTTCAGTTGCTCGGGTCTTGCATTTGCGGTAACAGCGATGATGTGCAGATGCTTATCGATTGATCCGTCTTCCTGCGCAGCGCGAATCATACTCGCGCACTCAAGCCCATTGACAATGGGCATCTCAATGTCCATAAGGATGACGTCGATACGTGGCTCGTCGCCGCGTGGTTGCGATGAAGTCGAGCCTTTCCAGTGTTGCGTAGTTTTGATGAAGTCGAAAGCTTCTTGGCCGTTGTCGGCTGTGTAGACGATATAGCCCTGGAGTTGCAGCTGTTTCTTAAGCACCCGTTGATTGACCATGTTGTCTTCCACAAGCAGGATGCTAGATTGGGTGGTCGGTGGCGCATCCGCAGCGGTACCCATCGCATGAGGCAGCGGCGAGGTTGGTCCTTCGGTAATGATAGACTTTTCGGAGCTTCTCGAAGATAGAGATGGTCTCGGTGGTGAAGCCCTGGATGCTTTTGTGTAGAAAGCAAATGTCGACCCGACATGTTGCTGAGACTGAAAGCCAATCTCGCCATCCAGCAAGCCCACCAATTTCTTGCTAATGGACAACCCCAGCCCAGAACCGCCGTATTTGCTGTATGTCTTGGGCATGTTCTGAGTGAACTGACTGAAGACGCGCGCTTTAGTCGATTCATCCATTCCGCACCCTGTATCTTCCACTTTGAACCACAAGAATATTGACCCGTCCGACGGTTCGACCTCGGGTGCTGGTTGATCGGTCGGCTCACTCTTTTGGACTGCTTTGATGAGACCGTCAAAGATAGCAGTGGGTGGCCAAGCTGCTACTCCGATGCGAACAGTGACAGCTCTTTCGTCGGGTCTATCCTTGGTGAACTTGATTGCATTGGCGACCATGTTGAATAGCACTTGTGTCACTCTGCCCGGATCAGCATCGATCCAGTCAACGTCGAGTTCGCTCAATGAAGCATCAGCTACAGCTACAAGCTGAACTCCAGCCTGTTCAGCCTCAGCTCTGAAAGTGCTTTCGACTTGATTCAAGAAGGTCTTGACGTGAAAGACTGTCGGACAGATCTCCAATAAATTTGAATCCAGTTTGGAGAGCGAGAGGATGTCATCGATGATACGTTTCTGATGCATGGTGCATGCCATGATCGTATCGACAGCATCGCCAATACTGCTGTTCAAATTCCGCAAGTCGTCGGCGGTACGGGAGTTGTCATTGTCGGGTGCGCTTCGCTTCTCGCACTGGTTGAGGAGAAGCCTTACTTCAGAGAGCGAGTGGGCTATGGAATCCGCACAGTGCATAACAGCACTAAGAGGGTTTCGAATCTGCGGTATGTTAGGATATGCAACGACCCGTCCGGAATCCAAAGCGTACTTCATGGCTCACCATGTCAACGAAGCTTCACCCTGTTAGTACATGGAAGCACACCCTGAGTAAGTCATCACTTACTTCTCTTGTTGCCGTTTGGCCTGGCGGCTTCTTGCAGTCGCGATTCGCTGAGATGAAGCTGCTCCAGAGCTGCTGCACGCGCAAGCTCTTGCTGTTTAAGGGCTTCTTCTTTGGCGAAAATGTCATTTCCTATAGCAATGCTTTCTCTCCGGATTTTCTCAGTACGGCTCCTAGCTTCAATGTTTGCCATCGAGATCACCTCGTGGGAGAAGTCACGATGGAGTGTCTTGATCCAAGCTTGGTAGGAGCGGTCGTAAGGTGTACGAGGTGCCAGACCGACGATCAAAACCGCATCGATGTTGGAAGTCCGGTTCGAAACACTGGGCAATATGACAGCCTGGTGGCAGATGTCGCCATAGCATCGGCTCGTAGATGCTTGACACATTTCCTTCGGAAGAGTACCGTTCTCAGCCTGGAGAAGTACCGACGAACGAGAATCGACACTCATGAAGAAGCTTTTCACCCATGCTTCATCCATACTTGGCTCGATTGTGGATAATGGTGCGGTTGGGAAGGAGCCAACGGTGCCAGAGAGGGCGAAGGCTAGCGAATTGGCCTGATTGTTGGAAGGACCAGTTTCTTTCACACTGTCTTGGTTCCTCTCGAAGCGGTACAAAGCAGCGAATGATATGTCCCCATCTCCGTTAGATATGCCCTTCAAAATCGAAGGCCATAGCGTCTCCAGATCCCAAGCAGTCTCGCAAGCGTTGCGGAGCTCCTCTAAAGAACGCTCGCGGCGAGAGTCCAACACGTCTCGCGTAACGTTGTAGGTTGTGGCATGGAAGCCGCCCAAGGATGGCGGTAGGCCCGTCGTGGTGATGGATAAGAAGACTTCCTCAAGGCGACCATTTCGGGAGAAGAAGAACGGTATATGTTGGTCGCTATTAAATCCAGACTTTTCGCTCGCGTACCCGCTCAGTACATCGACTTCGGGCAGCTGTTGAATTAGAGCTGCGTTGAGACTGATAGGTCGCCCTTGGTACAGCGGATGGTGGTCATGCAGCAGTCGACCATACGCTGTATTGTAAAGGACGGCCGAGTCCGAGCCAAGTAAGAAGAGCTGTGGTTGAGGAGAGAGCATTGCGATATGGAGTAACAATAATTCGCGAGGCCACGATGAAATGAGTCCGGCGGCGGTTCTGGCCCAGTCCAAGTCCCGGATGTATTGCAAGTCGGCGTCGATGGCTGCATCGCCCGTCGGATTCGTGAGGAAAGAGAGGTGAGGCTGCTCAGGCTCTACCGCCATAATGGTGTCGATAGCGCGACCAGACAAGAAAAAGATGTTATGGTACGGATCTGCGGGCTGCTGCGCCAGTATACATCTCAGCCACAATCCGTCGTTGGTGCCGGTCCCGGGGTCAACGGCTTCATGAGTGGCAAGCCAGACGTCTCGTGAGAATCTAGACCGCGCAGGCCGTGCAGATTACTCTGTCCAGAGTCTGGACTATCGAACCCTTGAACCCCTACACTGTTCTCCGGGACATGCCGTTCAAGGTCAAGGCACGACACACTGTCTGGTGGGGAGAGACCTGCGAATACGTTTCAAGTATGTAGGCAATGGCTTCGCGATGCCAGACAGATGCCGCCCTAAAGCGCTGAGTCGCTGACGCTCAACGCAGCGAGCTGAGCCCATCCCTGGAAGTTTCCCGCAACCACGGGGCACATTGATGCGAAGGGCATAGCCAGTGAAAAACAAAGACTAGCATAGATGAGGCATCACGGCAGGAATGCAGTGGATTGGCATGCATAGCTCGCCTGTCAAGCCTCAAGCAGCGTCGTGGCCAGATCTCTGCTGGTGCTCCAGCCTAGCCGAAGGGGGCTAGTGCACCCGCCCCTTCTGCGATCTCGAGGCCCGGGACTATCTTGCCGCCCGTTGTTTTTTAGCCACAGCTGACCTTTCTTCTGCTTCGGCAGGAGCGATAGGTTAGTCTTTTCAAGCATCGTTCAAAAGGAGTTTCAAAAGCCTCGTGCCTGGCTTCCGACTGGTTTTGAGGCAGTTGTGGCTCCGATAGCTGCCGGCACTCTCTCTACACCTAGTCTAGCGCGATCGTCGATCTGTTCACACTACGGATTGTGCCTTGGAGAGTGATTTCATTCGTCCAACAGTGGGATAGACCTTAAGCTCGAAAGTTGAACTTCCGCTTCGCTTGACCATCTCAGCGAAGATGATCTTGGATACAGAACCCAAAAGGTTTGCGGTGTGAGAGGAAGCGCTCCCTAGAGGACGCCTGTGAAACTTCACAGTGAAAACCTTTCGGAAAACCTCAGGTGCGCAACCCAAAATCATTCATGGGTTTTAGCTGTGGAGGGATTGATGTATCACGGCCTCGCTGGACGCCGGTCGTCCTTTCGTAAATAATTGGGCGCAGGAAGTACACAGGCAGCGACTCTGGGACTCATGGTTGTCAGATCCGGCTACTCCACCACCGCGTTCAAGTTACTTCCACCATGCCTGGTCTGTCTGATTACACGTATCAGAATTGCATGCAGAATTACAAGTAGCCGTAGCGCGTAGTCACGCAGTGTGAGCAAAGTCATGATGGATGGGGTCTACTGACGACATGCGCGGGTTGATGCCTGTTTTGGCGAGAACCCCTGCACTAGGAGCAGCCTTGTGGTTCGCACCGCCCGGGCGTCAACACTGCGACTTCCTTCATCACGCATGCGCCACCCCCATTACGACTGCTGTTGATTGTCGACACTCGAGTCCTCCTATTCAGTGTCTCTTATACCAGGCAGACGCGGCGACCAGGTCACGCATGTGCCGCTAATGTGGCTGTGGGAAGATCCTGGACGGCCCTCAGCCACCAATCGATTTCTGTGGCACGGAAGACTCAATGTACTTTAAGATGATTACAGTTAAGCTTTCCAGAGTTCTCTTTTACTTCGTGTAAGCATGGCTGTACTTACCTCAACCTTCCTCGTTCCTTGGAATACCATCAACCTGTGTGCCACCTGCCGCCTAGTCGCGAAACACGACACGACACAACGGTACTACGCGAAACCTCTAAAGATAGCGGCTGCGCGAGGCTGTACTCTCTGTAGATACTTCTATGAGGAGCTTGTCGTTGGACTTTTAGGACGCTCCGCTGAAGACGCTCATCTTGAAGTAGCTCGGCATGGACCATGTCTAGCAGTAATCGACTTTAGTAACACATTGCATCGGTTCGAGATATTCACTGAGCGTAGGTAGCAGCGATAAGAAGCTACCGATAAGTGGCTGACACTGAACAGGCAAGCACCCAAGCAACCAGACTTTCTTCAGACGGATCCACTCGCATACCGATTCCGAACCGTGCTGGGATTTGATACATACATGGCTCAACAAGTGCAAGCCCACTCATGCATGCTGTCATCAAGAAGAATCACCGTCGATGCCAAACATACTGCTGAACGTGGAGACGTTGAAGCTGGTACATGGATCGTCCTGTAGAGGCGATAAGCGTTATGCCGCACTCAGCCACTGCTGGGGCGCTGCCGGTACTATGTCAGCCACCTTAAGGGCAACAGTGGAAGGGTTCAGAACTGGTCTGGACACCCATTACCTCCCGCAAAACTTTCGAGACGCCATCTACGCTACCCGAAGGTTGGGCCTCAAGCTACTTTGGGTCGATGCACTCTGTATCGTGCAAGACGATACTGCGAGCCGCGACGTAGACGTCAGCAATATGGGAAGCTACTATCGAAATGCTTTCGTCACACTCTCTATACTGAGCGCACAAGACTCCCATGTCGGCTTCCTCAAACCTCGAGAGTCAGTATCAACGATCAGTCTGGGTGAGAACCTTCATCTTCGTCGAGCGCGGCCCACTTGGAGCGAAGTACTTCGAGAATCACCACTGAACAAACGAGCGTGGGTATTGCAGGAGCGATTGCTGTCAAGGAGAGTCGTGCATTTCGAGAAGAACGAGATCTTCTGGGAATGTCTCGAGACCTCTGCAAGAGAAGGTAGTGTGGAGGAGAACCCAGAAGCATGGCAAGAGGGCGAGTGGTCTAATGAAAGCTTCAAGCGCTGCCTTACTTTCGCCAACAATCCGGCCGTGGGGGAGCTCGGCAGCCATGTGTTGGAGAGCGAGGCCTTCATGATGCAATGGTACCGCATCGTATGCCAGTACTCTCGGCTGAGTCTCACGTACCGTAGCGATGTCTTCATGGCAATTGCTGGCATTGCGCAGATATTCCGCGAAGTCACACAATTTATATACAAGGCTGGCCTGTGGAAAGAGCATGTTCATGCTGGCCTCCTATGGTATGCCGAAGGGTCGCTCATACCAGTGCGACGGGTTACCGCTGTCTCGAGTCCACCTTCTTGGTCGTGGGCTTCTCTGGATGGCCCAGTAAATATGATCTTCAGCCGCGAATCAAGGACGATGACCACCCAACTTGCAGCCACGGTGCTTGAAAACCAACCTAAGCTCGAGCGAGCCATTACTTCCTTTGCGCATACTGGGGATGGCGTTTTGATGCTGGAGGCCTATTGCCTCGACGTCGTCTGCCGCTCGTGCTCCGACGGAAGCGCGCCGTACAGCGACCCTTATCTACGGATGGTGGTCGATATTTTCGACGAGCGTGGTGTCTGCATCGGTACAGGCTATCATGATCGCATCCCAGAAAGCTACATTACCCAATGCATGGCTATGATTGTATCGCAGAGAGTGTACACAGCATTCAGTAGTACTCCCATTACTTACTTCCTGCTGGTTGTTGAGTCGCACCGCTTTACAGAGACCTGCTACGAGCGAATAGGCATCGGGCAGACAGCCGATAAGACTTACGGTCATGTACTGGACACATTGAACATCAAGCCTGAGCAGAAGAGAAACGTTATACTCGTCTAAATACAAATTCCCAGCATGTCTTTATTTCCTCGTCTTTCCTAATGCTTGCAAAAGCTTTCATTCCACGCCTTCATTTGAATCCACCCCGCGTATACTCTTTCTCTCACCAACAACCCACCGATCAAACAACATACCTTCAATTTTCGGCCCAGGGTGAACATCTAACAACTGATAAAACACCTCATACCCTCTTGGTCTCTCCTCTTTCTCCAGTCTCTCAAGCAGAGCAAAGTCCCTCAGGCGGGGAGTCATCCTGTACTCATTCTCGCGCAAACGGTACCTCAGTACCACCTCTCTAAGATCTGCGAAACCCCCAAGCGACGCATAAAGGCCCTCACAGTGATCGAAACTGCCAACGCCGCCGAACCAAGACGAAGAGAATGTATCATCAATAACGATATTTCGGATCCGAGCGAGCCGTTGCGGAAGGACCGTCGACGTGAAAATAGACAGCATCTTGTTATTGTCGAATTTGAACGTGTTATTGGAGTAGAGCACCGGAATGGCCTCGCGGTATCTGTACCTTTTGTAAGTCTTCTGCTCAACGAGACTGTCCGAAAGCGAGGAAGAAACAGACATTTTCTTGCAAGTTCTCAGCATCTCCATGTTGCAGCCTGACACCGCCTTTATCCTCCAAAGATCCCAAAGTTCCTCGCGATTAAACCTCAATCCCACTTCCTCCTGCCCAGAGAGCACAATCGCATAGATCTGCAGTCTCAACTCTGCAGGCAATATGGTAAAGAACAAACTTTGCGATTGATATTCCGCATTCTTCCTCCATACCCCCCGGGTCCTGTCAAGCGATACACTGCGCTTTCTCTTCTCCAAAGCACGCACGCGTCTCCGATGTTCGATTCTAGCCAAGGCGTCGTATCGCCTTTGCTGTGCTGTAGATGGACGGCCGGGGGGACGTTTAACACAGGTGTGGGGCTCGATGGATCTGAGCCAATAACACAGACCACAGAGAGGGCAAGTGACGAGTTTGCAGCAGAAGCGCAGGGTGGAGTTAGTGTGCCATGTGTATATTATGGCATCTTTGATGAGTCTAAAAATTGGCATCGTGTTGTCTGAATGGTGTATACGTTGAGATGGGAGGACATTTGCTGAAAACAATATGTTTTGGGTGGCCTTATTTCATCTTGCGAAGGAGGCACAGTTGGTGGGGCCTGTCCACTGTTGCGACTTCGTCAGGCAACCATATCCAGGCCGGGTAGCATATATTGGCGCAGTCTTGGCCTGCCTGCTGGTTAGGCCATTTGGCTGGTACGTCTATCTTTGCAAGCGTCGCAAGGCTACTGTATGGTGTTGAAACATACCCTGAATGCGGGTCGCAGACTTGCTTATCATCAACCTATTACTATGAAAACCCAACTCCCCTTCCGATATGTTCTGGAGAAGCGCGCATTTT